GGTCGTAATTAGGGTTGATTTTTGAAGTTGGATGGATGATGGATTGTGATGGCGAGAGATTGCGAGAGAGGAGTTCATTTTGAAGGGTTTCTTGACGATTTTGGGGCAAAACTTATGAAATAAGCAAGAGGAAAAATTAGGATATTCCGTTCTTTGGACACACTTACCCCCTCCCCCAACTTGGACGGCCATTTTGGAGGATGTAGGAAAACAGGGAGAAAGGGAAAAGTGGGCGGAGTTGAGCTGTGCCAACTGGTCTCAGAATTATCAGCACCAAATACTTTGAAAACAGCCATGATGGTGAGGGTGGTGGTCGGGGATAGGGGGAGAAGGTCGCATTGGGGAATCCCCCGAGGCTGATGGTGGCGGAGGGGGTCATATCGAGACCGCCAAATAGAAGGGGAGCCTAGATTTTTGAAATCGGCGCAACGCACGGTTGACCCTTAGTCCAGGGTAGAGCTCAGAAAATCACCTCTAACCAGTGATTACAAAGGAGTATTTGGCTTGGGAACGGTAAGAGGTGTCGCATGGAACCTCCAGTGGAATGGATGACCCCGGCTTCTGCCCAACGCAACAGGTAACCTGGAGTGGAAACTTATTTGGTGTGGGCGGGACTCTCAGGGGTGGAACCTGTGGTTATCAAGGACGAGATCCAGTCCAGGGTTGAACTTTCCAAACTGTGTGTCTCGTAGAGAACCCCCCCCCATGCCTTATATAATAACTACATTGGTCAGATGATAATTAAAGGAAGGCCAGGATCAAGGTGTGGTAAATGAGCTTAGTAATGAGGGTGGACTGGAAGTCTAACCATAAGAAGCGGGCGGCGAGATAAGAGATAATAGGAGCTGAAGAGAGAGAGAGAGCAGAGAGCCCTGAGGCAAAAGAGCATAGCAGAACGTCGACACGCGGACGAGAGCCGAGCCACGCCCGCGCCCCCACGCCCCATCGGACACCCGCGCGTCGCCACCGAGCCACCTCACCCCCCCGCCGACACGGTGGGCGTGTCGCAACGGCAGGGCGTGGCGACTAGCCAAGGTCTTCTCTCCCTTGTGAACCAGTTTTTTTTTTTGCCGATTTTCCGACCCTGAACAGAGCAAAGATGTGAGCATTATGGGTATTTAATCCCTTCCAAACCTTAGATGGTATCTGCAATACGGTAATTCTACCACTGTGTCCTTTCTGCACACCTATCTGCTTCGTTTGTGTTTATTGTTAGCGTGTGTTTGAAGTGTGATTCCTTCGATTTCAGATGACTACTCTACAGTAGATCTCAGCCAAATACGAAAAGATAACGGTAAGCTCTTCTGAAAATTCTCTTTTTTCATGCTCTTAGGCACACGTCTTAAAACAAACTTCAAAAAAAATGGTTACTGTTCTTTGATGTCACGAAAGGTGATTTACAGATCATGGCACAACAAATTGTACCAGTGCGTAGACGTGCGTTTCAAGATGCCCATTATGAGCCAAGCTTGGACGTCGTGGACCACGCCTAGTAGTTTCTCCACTAGTTTGCACATTTCACATACTAAGACGGCACTTGTAAGTAACCACCATATGAGCATTACCAATATTAGAAGATGCTAAAATTGAGGCCAGCTCCAATTGTGCACGTGTAAATAAAGACCTCCCTAAACACTAGTCGAGGTAGCACTAATTCAGTTAACCGATCATGGCGCCTATGCTAATGCGATGGCCACTCATGAAAATATACAGCATGAACAATCAAATACGTGTCGTTCAACCATAATCCATATTATTTCATAAAATTATTTTACAGATCTGCCAAATTCCGACTCAACTGGGAGATTTGTTTTGATTGATAGAAGATTTTTGAAGGAAAGATAATGTATCAGACACGTGAGCTGCATTCTGTCTAACCTGCTTACAATGAACAGGCCTTATAAGAGATAGTCGTCGAAATGTAGAAAACTCGTCCAATAAGTTCATAGAGATTAGTCAAACATTCTGCCAACCGTAGAAATAAATGTAATTCAGCAGAGAATCGAGTTCTTACAGTAACGTTTGTTCAGCGAGTATTTCACCGTATCCACTGGGCGGCTCTTCGGTGAATTTTCTGAATTTTACATCCAAAATTGCCGAGTCGTCTACGTAGACTAGGGGATAAGCCTGAAAATGTATAATTCATTCAACCCTCCCGGAAAACCACTGCTCCGAAACAAAACAAACAAAAGTTGTCAAAATAATTTTCGTTCCATTCGAAAGATCCCGTCAAATCAATAAGCTTTCAGAACAGCTAAAACGCTCGACCGCCATGTCAGAAAACATGATAATAATTCATACAAACACTTATCGCCGCCATTTGTGCCACCGGAAACACCACTGAGGCTTGGTGTCAAAAGACGCGAATACCGAATCGGAAATTGCGAAACTGTACACACCAAGCCTTAGTTTTTTTTTTGGGAACTAAAAATTCCCAAAAATTCCGCAGAAATATGGCGTACCTTGGCGCACAACATTTGCTCAATAAGTTCAATACCTTTTTTCATTTCGGCAATAATTCTTGAGTGAAAAGGTATCTTTGTTGTAGAACCAAACGTTGGAAAAAAAACTCCGGAAAGACAACTCACCGGTCCTTTAATACCCGTTATGCTCGGCTCTAAGGGTTCGCCATTCAACAAGAATTTCAATTCGACGTGATCAAAGCAGACTCCCTAAAGACAAACTCTAATACCATGTCTTGTTAATGTTATAAAGCAAGCTCTCTAAATGTGGGGAAGCTAAGGATACGGCCAAGAAAACCGAAAATTATGCAGAAAAAATACTCACAATGCAATCTCCTTCAGAAACAGGTTTAGTAAGCTTAGCAATGACAGTTCCGTTTGCCATCACATCGCCATTGTCGCGAATTCCCCAAAAGTTACTTGTGACCGGCACTGCATCGAGGGATGCATGGGAATTACCAAGTCCGATTCCAAAGGCTCCTTAACGAGGCAAATGAAGCAAAATCGTGAAAAAAACCGGGACCTGATGATTATTAAACGAGAACTACTGGCCAGGGACTACTTACCGTTCTGTTGTATATTTACTTGGAAGTAGGCCTTATTCTGAACAATAGGTAATGTTCCCAAAGCGCCACCCGTACCACAAATCCGTTCTCCTTCTTTGAGAATGACGACATCCTTTCCTGAAGAAAAAATACAACATCTTATGCGAAATTTCATTCACTTTCTTCGAATTTGCTTGCAGATTGCACACTGCAGCTGCATTTTCTCTGCAATTGGACGCCCGCTCAAGTTTCTGAGGGAAATCCATCATTTCCCAGAATTCATTCCCATCTGTCTCCTTCGCACTAATACTCAAACACAAAATCATAAGCACAAGCGAAGTCGCGAGGAATTTTCTGTTTAATCCTCAGCTCGCAGTAAGTACGGATTAGACCTCCCTTTCTGGGGCCATTGGCAGGTTAAATGTTTAGTACAAACTAGCATATGGTGTTCAAGTGACATTAATTGTGAAGTGAGGCATGAATGCGAATAAAAATAACAGCCATTTGCGTCACTACGCTGTAACACTTAAGAATAGAACTAAATCAGATAACTCATATGAGGGCCTCCAAAAGCAGTCTTTGAAAAACAGGCTCCCGCGAAAGAAACAAACTAAGACACGAACCACCTCCTACCTTTTCTAGGTTCAAGGTTCAAATTTTCGATAACAAACAAATTGAACGTTGGACTGGTATTTTAACATGATTATATCAAAGCAGTGCAAAATGAAACTGAGGATTTTACGGCTTTCTACAAGAACAAATCAAGTGCCACACGAACAAAAAATATTAGGGATTCTCTTACAAACCTAGCTTAATTCTTAATTTGACCACATAAAAGATAGACGAGAGATCTCCAACGGCTTAATTTAATTGTTCTGAAATCATATTTGAGGACAGTGCACTTACCACTTTTAGTGACATTCGAGGCGATTCGAAGGCGTCAACGGAACGCTCAACTGTGAGTAAGATGCCGTAGCTGAGAATGACGGCCCTTGTATACATTCCAAACAATTGTCAAAATATGGTACACAACAAGAGAAAAGGTTCATCTGAAAAAAGTAGTCATTGACATAGCCAAAACACAAAACATAACGAGAAAACTATTTATCAACTAAATGTGTGCTTAGATCGCTCGCCGCCTTAATTATCATATTCTAAAAAGACACATACAAGGAGATAAATGACGGCTATCATTTAATCAGAAGAAAAGAGCTGAATTTAAATTGAAAAAAATGACAGTTTCGGGAGGTCGTCTGAAGTCGAAAAACAAAAGGAAAAAGGAAACGACGCATATTTTGATTAAAGCTTCGCCCGAGAATTAAGCAGAGCATCGCAGTCAGCTACATTTACAGACATTACAAAAACTACCTTGAATTAATCTAACAGCAGAGCTTGATTCTCTAAGTAAGCAATGGTGAGTGGTGCGCTTCCCCATGCGGAAGGTCATTCCCAGCGTTACATCTGTGAATCAATCAAGACAAGACAAGAGCAAAGAAAAATAAGAAAGTGTCATTCAAAGAGAATGTACGTGATGTGGAGTACATGACCGTAAAATGTCAACGATATAGAGAACCAGAAAAAGTTGCTTTACAGAATCCGTGGTATCGATCATGCGCCAAAAAGTAAGCGTACTGGAGATGCAACAGGCACTGGCGCGGAGCAGCTCGCGCGAAGAGTCCGTGAACTGACGCTGAGGTGACTTTCTATCGCACGGTCCGCAAATCGCTGCGGTGGCAGACACTATGACCGCCGCTTCAATACAGATCCTGTAATCCAAAACAAGTGAATTTATAGATACCAGCTGTCTAAGGTGGTGAGAGTCCTAACTTTCCAATGAGGACTACAACCGGAACACCACATAAAAAGTCGATAACGAATTTGGTCGGACAGTAAAGTCGAAATGTCCTGGTCGGTTGCTTTGCCTCTTATCTATTCTTGAAGTAGAAGTACAGCAACAAATTCCAACAGTGGACATAAGAGAGAAAGCGATTTTCAATGAAATGATCAAAGAGAAGAGACAGATATCGAGCCGTTGAAATGCGCAAGAAAAAATAGGAGAAAGAACCGTTCAAGTGGAAAACTTTCTAAAGTTGATAACCCGATATCAAGCATCAATACAGGAAATGGGAAACTGGCAGTCATCGTTCCTTCCCGTGCTCCTCCTATCCTTCGAGTGAGTTCCCCAAAAACCCACATTAATTCATTAACTCGAAGAGCTATTAATTTCGGAAAAGCCGAGAGGCTGGTATTCCTGACAGCGTGGGAGCTCATCGGCCCAGCGCACGACAAACGACGTCTGCATTACTGAAGAGAATGTTTCGAAGGAGGGCATTCTCCGAACAGAGGATTCAATACACGTTTCCCATTAAGAATCTCATTCAAAAGAAAAAAGTTAAAAGATTACAGAGCCAAAAATGTCTAAGCCATGAAAGGAACAGTGGCCATGCGACATGAACATTCAAAGCTAAGTAGTTTTTGGAAAGCTAGCCTTATCCGAGCAATCAATTGGGTGTTTTGACCACGATACCTTCCAATCGAGTGCAAAACAAACATAACACTGCGCCTGCGTCACTCAAACGCGAATGCATACTCAGCGAACCAGCTGATAGCAGAGCATGGACGGAGATAGTCTTCTTATTTGGACAGTGTCATAGTTTCTTAAGTTCATTCAAACTACAAGCCAAGATATCCGATTCAAACCTATAAATGATGATTAATTAGGTATATATTAGCTAACGTAAGCAGGATTTTCGGTGTTTCTTTCAAATTATCGAAAAATTTGCAGATGGAATAGATGTCAAGGTTATCGCATCCTGTTCCAGGGAAGCCTACCATCCCTACGAGTTGGATGATTGCTGTCAGCCTTGTTTGGGAGGATAAAAACACTGACTTGAACACCGGCTGACCCCCCGCAGTCATTGTAGAGGCTAAATCATTCAAATTTAGCTTTCAGCTTTTTCTATTTTTCATAATTCAAGAAACCGTCTGTTAGAACGAGTACGACAAAAAGAGGAACGAAGTGCCAAAAAGTGAATAGAGACAAGCATGGCACTCGGAATGAGCAAAAATGGAGATTAAATGATGGAAAAAGAAATGGAGTGGCGGAGAGACTTCACAATAACCAGAGAAAACGAAACAAGCTTGAGAAATAAGTTTCATAGGAAACTCACCTGATGTCAATTGTAAACAACTGCACAGTTTCTGTTCATTTCCAAGATAAGCCAACATCAGTCACTTACGAACATTAAATTGTATGCCCGAAAAACAGTAAAGCATTTTGAACGAAATTAAAGGAGATGACGTAAGGGCTCGATCGATGGCGCAGCAACATGCATCGGACACCGATTCCAAGCAATTCGGCTGCCTCTGGCTCGACTTAACCATGACCCAGTTTTCAGTGGACCAAAGAACATCCCGCTCCACTTTTTTCCACGTAGCTGATAGATGCCATGCAGGCGAAATCCACTACGGAAATGGAAACTATTTGGTCATAGCTAAAACTAAAACTCTTCAAGAACATTTTCACATGGCTAATCTTCCTGTGTATAAACCGGCCAACTACTGCTGCAAAAATCTTAGCGAATTCTCTAGATCGATTTATTTGATTAGTGCTATTTGACCCCAAAAAGGCGTAAAGGTAAGTAAATAACGGTTACCGAAGGTGAGAGCATCAATGGAACAAGCTGGACGTGCAGCTCCTCCTCCTCTTTGATGCATCGTTATTAAATCCGTTTGGTTGCTCTATCGATTGCAAAAACTCACAAAACCCAGGGATCGAACCTAGCTCAGATTAGTGAGCTCTGGCCAGCACCTAGATCAATCGACCGGTTCAAAATACCTCGCCCAAATGACCAAGGCCAGTATAACCTGAAGCGCCAACCCAAGCCAATTGCCTGGACAAATAAATACGCATGCAGTTGCCCTCACTTAGAGGAGGGGAGATGTCAAATGGTTGCTGTAAATTTCGTGATACACTCAAAAAGTGATTAGTCAGGTACTAGCTAGCGGCTCTTGAATTGTGGTGTCATTTGAACCAACGCAACGCCAATTCCAGCGTAATCATTACTTACGAATAAATTGGACTGTCTGTGCTGCGGCCCTCGTACGCTATTTATGTGCACGACACTACGTTGCTTTGTCTACCGCTTTTCTACATGCGGGTTGACTAGGTCTTTATTCGGCTTTTGTACCTCATCTTATTCGTGAATTTTGGATCCCCAATAGTGACTATGGTGTGATGATGGCGCTTCGCAAGAAGGCTTGATAGACTTGCTGCAGTGTTTAAGTGCTAACCACAGAGTGCCTAAATCTCAACACTAATTCCCTTGAACCCTTTGCTTGTACGGGCTAACTTGAGCCTCGATAAACGGGTGTATGGTATTAATTTTCTGGTAGCGACTACGTGGCTCTTCCGCGTTGAACAGATTACAAAACCGTAAAAATATGGCGTCATATTCGTTTTCAAGCTATTGACGCCCCGCCCCCGCACACATCTAAAGGACATAAGCCAAAGCCTGGCGATAAGATGGCCCCTTTCAACTGGTTACATCCAGCTCGGAATGAGAGGGTAATTCCTGGAAACGAATTTGGCTGTTCCACATAGAAACGTTGATTTGGAATGCCGAACATTCTATAAGCTGGTAAAAAGCGAATCTAATAAGCGCAGTGTGCAGTCGATTTAGATGTGCGGACTTCTCGTTTCCGCACACATACGCACATAAGAGATTTTCTTTGCAAAAATTGACTTTACTGTAAATACCAACTGACGCATTACATGCCCCCTCTCCTTCCCGTCACTGGAACCGACCCCTTATATAATTTATTGAGCTCTCCTTCAGTTTTGTTCCGCTGGATTCCCTTTGTATTGCTGGACTTAACACTTATGAAGTGCTCGTTTTGCTTGCGTTTGGCAGCCTAATTTCAATTCGGCTATTTTGAAATTAGGGTCTATTCCAGTTAGGGGCATCATTATGCAGTTTCTCGGAAAATTAGTGTGAACTCGAACATTCTAGCTTTTCACGCATGTCAAGTGACTGCCCTCACCCCCACCCCCGTAGACTGGCTACACCTCCCCTGGCTCAGAGTTACCTAGCTTTCTGGAGAAAACTGCATCATGATGCCCCCCACCCGCCTAAACTGAAACAGACCCTGGAACTCGTCCACTTATTAAGGTTCTGTTTTGGTATCTGCACTGTCTCCATGCCTTCCACTGCATCAAGGACCCCTCAGCCTTGGACTCGAGAACGGGTGAGGCTGCACTAATTTTTACGTGTTATGTCAGTAGCTAATGAAATCTTTTCCAGATCTTGTTTGTGGCACTTGCTGCTCGTTTCATATTAGTACTTTATTCTAATATTCATGATTACATGTTTGATGTGAGTTATTTCTGATTTGAATGCGAGCGACATGTTTCTGGTATTCTTGAAATATGATATCTTCCAGGTTAATTTCACTGACATAGACTACAGCGTTTACAGCGATGCCGCGAAACATGTCGCAGCAGGACGAAGTCCTTTCGAAAGAGATACTTATCGGTAAGTTTGTACTTCTCGGTTCCGGTCAAATGGACGTTATTGGATCACCGTAGCGGTAACGATTGGGTTACTCACTACAGAAATCATTCAATCTTAGCTCCTTTTGGCATTAGATCGGCACCGAAGCTTGGCTTATCGTTTTTATCGTTTGGGTGAGCTCTTTTCAAGTTCCAAATTTTCGAGAACTCGTTTCTTGGGACGGCATGATCTGATATACTCGTCAATCTGTGCTCGCAAATGAGTTAAGAAGTGTAGAGATGCTTATAGCTTTTGTTTCTGATGGGCTGGACCAGTTTTGATTTCTGAAAACTTCCTTTAACTTAGCTAGTAGTAGCGACGATCGTTTCCGCATTGGTTTTCTTATTTTCTTTATCGTTTCACATTCATTCAGATACACGCCAGCCTTAGCATGGATTCTTCTGCCTGTTAACAGCTACAAAGATTTCGGTAAGATCTCCTCCTTAGATATGGGCTTTGTGATAGGTGTGACATGGCATCCTGGTTTCCATTTTAGGAAAATATTTGTTCTGTATATTTGACATTGTCGTTGGTTGGCTGTACTTTCAAATGATGTCGTCGCCTGCAAAAAATGGACAGAAAAGAGAACGGTGAATACTTGACATTCTTTCTTAGGTAATACTGGTTTTATTGCGAGACTCTCACAGCATTTCTACTTAGAAATTTCCAGCAGTGTACACAGCGCAAAAGAGGATGATGGGATTTCGGAAGATTGGATCATTCAATCAGTCGTGGTTTTTTGGCTTGCAAACCCGTTGACTGCTGTTATATCAGCAAGGTACGCTAGTCTCAAACTTCTGGTTTATTTTGGGTTTGATCGAATAAACAGTGGCTTATTAGTGATTTAAGGGGTAGCGCTGACGTGCTGGTCTGTGCTGCTGTGCTCTTTACGCTCTATCTTCTTAAAAAAGAGCAGGTCAGGTCCCAGTACGCTTTTCAATGGTCTGTCATAAATGGAATGTCCTTTGACTTTCATCAATTCTGTATTCAAAAACGCCAACTTTATTCTTGGCACATTTCAGTGGATTGCGGCTGCTTTCGTGCATGGCGCGTTAGCAGTTCATCTTAAAATCTATCCTGTAATATATCTTCCATCGATATATCTTCATTTATGTCGCTTTTCTGCTAGTCCATGTATATTTGCTAGCATGAAACAGCTTGTCACAAACTGGAAAGGACTCGCATTTGCAATGGTGGGTTATTTGGTATAATTAAAGCAACAGTCCCAGCAGGATTTTTGCCTTCGACACTAATGGTGTGGAACGATGCGCTAGCCCTAGTCAAGAACATAAGAAGTGTGACTGAACAAAAAACTCACCTTGGAAAGCCGCTAGAAAGGGAGCTGAACGGCTTCGAAGTGGGCGTGGTTGAATCGGCTGAGGGGACTGCACAACGGCCGATTCAACCACGCCCACTTCGAAGCCGTGCAGCCTTTCCAGCGGCTTTCCAAGGTGAGTTTTTGTTCAGTCACACTTCTTATGTTCTTGACTAGGGCTAGCGCATCGTTCCACACCATTAGTGTTGGAAGGTAAAAACCTGCTGGGACTGTTGATTTAAGCCCAGTAAACGCACGGAGTTTCTTCATCTAGCATTATAATGAGTAGTGCTCACCATAAAGTAGCTGGCATTCGAATTCAAGTGTTTTGTGCTCGTAGACGTTCTGAATATTGTTCTCACCAATATGTTCTTTGATGAGGCTTTTTCTCTCAAAAAAAAAACGCGTGGTGAAATCTTTAGACTCTATAAATGTGATATTTAACTACACGTTTTTGATGCTTCTGAGGACCATGCTTTTTTTATCAGTCCTGACAAAAAATGATGTCACAGCTGACGCTATTTCATTTCAAGAACGCTGCAGTGACTCGAAATATTTCCCTGTTGCTCTTTAGGATTTTATTTTAGCTATACTGCTCTTATCAAAGAATTGTCGTTGCTATTTAGATCAGTATGTGCTGTTTTGGCGCGATTGTTGCATTTTTCTACTTAGTCTACGGTGATCTCTTCCTGGAAGAATTTCTTTTGTACCACATAAAAAGGCGAGATATCGCACACAATTTCTCGCCGTACTTCTATGTGAGTTGATTTCTTGGGCATATATCCTAGTCTAAATTCGTCCGTTTAAATTGTATCTGCAGGTACTTCGATTGATTGATGATGATGAGCTTCTTTCAAAGTTTGTCGGATTCCTGGCCTTTTTGCCACAGATGGGCCTCGTTTTGTATTTCTCCTTCAGGTTGTTGCTCTTGCGGGCAGTTGCTCTTCTTAGTCACCTTATCTATTTACAAAGTTTCAGGTATCATCACGATCTTCCATTTTGTTGGTTCATGAGCACATTCGCTTTTGTGACGTTCAACAAAGTATGTACAAGTCAGTACTTTGTATGGTACATCTGCTTACTTCCACTGATTACCGACAGATTTGAGGTACGACTTCAATTTGCAATCACGTTGTGCAGTCCTTCATCGCGTTTTCTTCTAGTTGTCGTTACAAGAAAAAAATTTCATGAAAGTGTCAACTATTAGGAAACCATACTTCTTTTTTCTTCCCTGCTTTGTTTCATCCAATTCATCCCACCCTTTTCGTTTTTGTGTCGCGCTCTTTAATTCGCATGTAATAGGCAACGGGTTTCCACTGATGAACAACCTTATAGTCTGCTGTATTTGACTAAATTCTAAGCGAGGAAAGAATAAAATGTATTAAAATACGTCCAGATCCGCAGTATCCTCATGTCCGTTACATGCGTTGGAGGTCCATACGAAATAATTTTTCTTATAGTGATAGCTACTCTCTACATTCCGTTTTTGAATTCTAGTGTGCCCTTTATAATACAGATCACCATTTTTGTACGAAAAACTTTTTGCCAGTAAAAAGTCCAAGATACCTGATAGATGCACTGGATATAATTTCTTCAGATGTCAGTAGGAGAAGCACTACATCTGATTGGAATGTGGTTTGCCAGCCAAGGAGTATGGCTGTTCTTTGCCTATCTGTACGAATTCCGCAAATGGCGCACACTTGAGTTTGTTTGGATGGCGTCGTTATTGTTTCTTGTTGTTAACTGTTATATCATGGCCAAGTTGAGACGAAGGTATCGGGAGAGCACAAAGACTGCATTGAAAAGCAAGGTAAATTAGTGGCAGTGTCTTGAAGGAGGAACTAGACTATGTTCACAGGTATGGCTTGGCACATTTCAACTGAGAGGGAAATATGATGTACGTTGATCAATAGAATAATTGATATCCATGTTTAGTTCTTCGTTTGAATTCAATAATCTTTTCAACTTTGAGCTCTAATCACTATAGGATCTGAAGCAGATCTGCTTTCCCTTTCAACATTACGATTATAAGCCCGGTGCCATATGCCCATTTTTATTGGTTAGATTGGAGCTCAATTGTCTGTATATTGCATTCAGTATAAGTCACAATGTTCATGATATCTGTTACACATTTTTGTAATTTGGAGCTGCAATTTTTTCTCAACGTTCTTCCGTTTCCATCGAATGATGTGAGTCCTCTATGACTTGTTCAAAAATACATTCCGTTTTCGGTCGTGATGAGGTGATCTTTTTCGTGCAATTGTTCGCTTCCCTCTAGTATTATAGTCATTGATGTTTTCCGGTACTAAATGTTTCACTGTGTAACAATCTGTGTCAGACAAATGTTCGGCTAAAAGTTTTACACATTCGCGAGTAGTTTGTTGTTATTGGATTTTATGAGCTGGTGTGTTATTTCAGGTACATTCACTACGGTCGCTTTTATAGTCGTTCGTACGAATGTAACGATCGCACTGCGTTAGATACGTATCGAATGTCCAAGTTGTCCGATTGATACGTATGTAATGCATTGTGTTGTTACGACCGAGCGACGACTACGAAAGTGCCCGAGGTGACGCTTTTCGTGTTTGACGATTTTGTAGATACTCTGAAAAGTAGAAGCCCATATGTGATCTGATTTTGTGTACCGCTTTTTGTGGAATAGAGGAGATATTCAATCTGACATGTGCTTCATATTTTCCTATATTGTCTAGATAAATGTGCAATAAAATATTTTTTGCTTTGGCTTCTATGAGTAAGGTTGGTTTCACCCAATATCTGGAACTCACAATGAATGTGTTGCAGAGCTGCTCTTTTAATTCTCGCTTTTTAGGGAATCCAGCACATACTGAACAGAGGTGGACAGCTCTCTGTAACACCAAGACCGAGATGTCGACTCGTACTCCACGTATATGGCAGAAAGGAATCCAGAATTATGTCTTCCTTCCTGACTTCTGGATGGCCGTAGTTTCGACTCCCGTCGTTGGACGAAATAAGGTGCCTAGAAACTGTGTGAAATTCGAGGTGGATCCAAGAATGACAAAGCACGATGTGAGGGAATACCTAACTAAGAATCTACGACCTTCCGGTAAGAAGTGTCCGCACAGAAGTGCAAATGGGTGATATTACCTGGAGTACACCGCTGGATCCTCAGTACAAAAAGCAATGTGGAAAGAGAATGACAAGAAATTCGCATATGTTTTTATGAGCAAAGGACTTCGAATTTGTTCCTCCGAACGTTCTACCTACTGATGATGAACAAGAACAGCTACAAAAGGCCAGAGAACAACAGGAGAAGATCACTGTGAACGATAGATTCGTGAATCGGGACAGGAAGAAGATTGGAGAGCTGTTAGGTCTTTGAATTGAAATTTTTCTTGTGTTCTTCGTTTCCACCTACTTTGTTTTTCGTTATGCCTTGTTTTTGGATATTTTCCTTTGAGATTATATCTCGTCCATTCTTCCTCAGAATTTTTCATACCATCTTCCGTATTTCAAATATCTCTCTATAGATTTTATTTTGTCAATTTTCATATGTAGTTTCGGTTCGTAACTTTAGGCTTCATGTAGTTGCACTGATGGGCGAATTTTATCTCTCCATAATTAGTGAATTCCACATGAGAATATAGTGGTGTTGCATTGCCGTAATGTTGGCTACGTGGAGTATACCTGGCGCTGAATCGTTAGATTTAGCCTCACCAGATACTGTTCTCATTACCGTATGGTCATTGAAATGCCTGACAACGCTTCGCATTCGAGCGCCCTATGTTTGTGATTTGGACCTGCGAATTGGTCGTAATTAGAGTGTTTCTATGTATATAGATGAGAGACTGCGTGCATAGTTGTATCAATTATGTCTCGGGTTCGTGCCAACAATTCACATTGTGATAAATAGATTTTGTGCCGTTATCGAATTCTGTAAGTCCATATCTTGCACGAAAGGATACATATTCGGCTAGAACGCTCTTGGTTAGCAATGGCTAGCAAAAGCCTATGTGAATTCAATATAGAGGCGGCGTTGAATGCAAGGTTAATAAAGCTGTCGGATCAGTTCGCGAGTAAGCGTACGCGGCGCGTTGGCCGTGAGCGCTCTGCGTGATAACGTATATGTTGCTTGGTCGAACGATCTTCACAAACGTGAGTCGGTTGGTGCATTCCCTAAATAGATCTCCGCATAGACGCAAGTGTCACTCGATATCGCTGCGCCCCCGTGGCACATATGACCGCTGCCTAAGGTTAAGCGTCAAGGAACCTCAGCTGCACGAGAAAGTAATAATTGGAATGTAGCACTATTGCTTGTCCAAATTGGGATTAATCACAGTTCTATTCGCCAGTACACTCGTTTTGAGAGTCAGGGTTCGATGGTGTTCTACCTAATAGGATTGGGTCTGGGTGATGTGGAAGATATCACTGTGAAAGGCCTGAATATAGTGAGGTGAGTCCCATAGGAAAGATTCGTTCTTGGAATTGGGAAGCTTGTTTTTCTTTCAGAAAGTGTAAACGAGTACACCTTGAGGCATACACGAGTATTCTTTGCTATGGATTGGATAAATCGAAACTTGAAGATTTCTATGGACGTGAGGTCATCGAAGCAGATCGCACTATTGTTGAACAAAATGCAGGTATTCTACCCTGTTTCTCAGTTGAACTCATGTCAGATGTTGATTGAGATTTTCGTAAATCTGATGAGTTTTGACCAGGGTAATCCGACATCGAGATTTTTAAGTGATGGTCGCGCTTGTTCCTACTAAATTTGACTTTACTGTGCTCCTCCCCCCCCCCTCCGCTAAGGTTGGACCTTAGCCTGCATAGTCTGCCGTCCGGTCGTACGATCGCTAGAATTAGCTACGTATGCGATCGTTGACGTTAAAGACATCAACGATTGGTTTCGTCCCTAGTGCCTTGCATCGTTCCGATTGGAATCGACCGAAATTATGAAAGTGGACTTGTTGGCGGATGGGTAGAAGAAGGAGGGCATTCCTTTTAACCCAAATCTCTCCCCGCAGATCCCGATTCACCTGACGGTCTATGTTTGCCCGCTTGTACCTCATTGATTCCTTTTTAAATCCCCAATCACTTGTGAACGCTTTCCTACTATTCGCTTCGTTCTTGAGCACTGCTGTTTACATGAATTTCTCGCTGCTGAATTCCAACCTTCACACTGAATTGCTTTAGACGAGATATTAGACGGTGCCGATGTAGATGATGTAGCAATGCTCGTTGTTGGGGATCCGTTTGGTGCCACGACGCATACCGACCTTGTTCTTCGCGCAAAGCAAAGGAATATCCCGGTAAGTTGCTGATACAATCCTTATGGCAGCCAGTGTGGCAAATGCATGAAGAGAAGTCTCAACTGTATTCGCTCTAATTAAACCGTTTTTTCAACCATCAACCAGGAACTACGATTAGTCCCTAAGGCAAGACTGACGCGAACGGTTTCGAATATGGAGTTCAGAGAGTGCGGAAAGCAGTTTTGAAAACTTTTATGTACCTCTCGCTTGGTTCCTTTTTCAAGCAGGGAACCAAAGTAAGGGTGCCTCAATGGGGCAATGGTCCAAAGCTGATCCCGCCCCAGCGTTATGCGTGAATGTACTCTTCAATAGAGAAAGGTCAGCTAACAAGTTAGTTAAAGCGCATCAATCGTACTGAGTAGTACTTACTCACTAAAACTTTTCTCATTTGGACTACTTAGACATTTGAAAAGGCAAGGGCGTGGAACTCTGTGTGTAGCTACATCAGTCGAATGAGTTTCTATTGAAAAATCAGCTCTCAGTAGAAAACCGTGCATCACTTACTTTTTTGTTATGTTTCAAAAGTAAAGGTTCCAAATGGTTTCAGGTAAAGGTCGTGCACAACACTTCCATAATGAACGCTGTTGGTTGTTGCGGCTTACAGGTTAGCTTCTTGCATTTATAGTAAACAAAATGATGTTCGAAAGTTCAACCCTTCTCTCGAATTTTCTGGAAACATATGGAGAAAGTACTGTAAATTGTAGCTTATCCCTCTAGGCCTCTCGTTCTCCTTGCTGTTTGAAACAGCTTGGAGGCCGCGTTGCTCAGCACGCGCCTCTTCGTTGGGGATCACACGAGCGCTGAGATCGCGAGCTATGAACGCAGTTTTGTAGTGTTCCTAGAACATCTTATAAACTGTTTGTCCTAAAATTCCCCCTATTGATTCTCCTATCGAATTTCGCCAATTCTTTCCTACTTTAAGCCGATCAATTTATGGAATCTATGATACCCATGCATAGCTGAAACTAGTTTTAGTTGTACAATTTCGGTGAAACAGTCTCGATAGTGATGTGGTTGGACGGATGGGAACCAGATAGTTACTACGACAAAATAGCGACAAATATGAAAAATGGATTTCACACGCTGTGTCTGCTTGGTGAGTTTTGTTATCCTCTTTTTGATTATCACGGTTAGTTGAGTTTTATTATTGATCTTTTGCAGATATAAAAACAAAAGAGCAGTCAATAGAAAACATGATGAAGTAAGTTCATTGGCGAATTTGGTTTCCATGGCTCGTTTTTTTGTGTTATGTTGTGAATTTTAAGTCAAAACTCTTCTTTAAGAGGAAGAAAGATCTACGAACCACCTCGTTACCTAACCTGCGCCGAAGCAGCCGCTCAACTGTTGAAGATAGCGGAACGTAAGAAGGAAGCTGGTACAGAACCTGGTTAGTCTTGTGATTTTTTATCAAGAGTTAACTATTACGAAAAAGGACCCCCTTGAATTATTACAAGGATACTGGGTTATGGGCAAAACAGTGCACCCCAGACGGAAATCTAAGGTTCGTCGCCTGGGCGAGGTAATTTGCCTGTATTCGAGCCCCTTGCGACAAATTTCACTCGGTATATGCGGGTGAAAGCAGCAGTTGACAGATGAGTGTTTTTTTAAATACATTTTGCAGCCTACAACGAATCGTCACCCTGTGTAGGACTCGCGCGGGTCGGTTGGGATGATCAGAAGGTTAGCGATTTTTGTATTTCTTGTCAGGGTTTTCAATAGAGTTGTCGTTAACAGAGACGGTTTGAGTGCTATTCAACTGATCAGTAGGCTGTAATATGAAGTACTGACTTGACTATAGAATGCGTGCACTTTTTTGATAGCTTTGATTCACTTTTGTAGATTGTGTCTTGCAAAATCCTTTTCCAAAAGTAGCGCGAAAGTGAGCAGTTTTATTGGTGTTATCATTTGCTGGGACTGGTGCCAGCTTTCACCATGACTTGACGTTCTGTAGGATCAATTTTTCCCTAATCTCCATGAAATTCTATTCTCCCACTTAGGCGTATTGGTTCTGAGCTTATCCAGGAGGTCAGAAACAGTGATTGGAGTAACACATATCTTTTTCAAGAAAGAAAATCGAGTAATCCTTTCAAATACCTGACGTCTTGTTAGCGTCTAGGAAGTGTTTCGCCGTGATCTTCAGGACAACGTAAGCTGTGATTGATTTGAATTTGATTTGATTTGATTTATTACACGATTGGCTCGTGTGGACTTGCAACAGTATACAAACCAAAGAGAAATATATGGAACCATCCGAAGAACTAACTAAGTGATATAAGGCGAAAAAAAAAGAAAAAATTAAAAAATATGAACGTAATAACAAGGAATAAGCTAGAAGAGCAAAAAGGAAAGAAACAACAGAACAAGGGAGGCATAGGAACTAGAAGTAGGAAACTACGCCAAGTGTTGGGCCAATAGTTTTCTGAAGTGTGCGAGTGATTTGGGCATTTGTCCCCGCTTAATTATCCTATTGAATTCCATACCAGTACGGTGACAGAAGAATTGGCTTCTGTACCTAGAATTGGGGTCTGGATAAAACGTTAACTGCAGACTCCGCGTACGAGTGATTCCTGGGCGGTATTCAATCCTTCCCCCAGGGGGATATATCCCCCTCCTCTGATTCAATCCTCTCAATCCTCTGGGGGGACAAAAAAGGGTTGCGTCATAGGACCTCGCATACCTCTGTGTTTCTACCTGCCAGACAGTTAGAGCAGCGCTACTACCCTCCACTGATGAAGCACTCTTTCCCCTGAGGGGTCGCGCTGCTCTAACTGTCTGGCAGGTAGAAACACAGAGGTATGCGAGGTCCTATGACGCAACCCTTTTTTGTCCCCCCAGAGGATTGAATCAGAGTAGGGGGATATATCCCCCTGGGGGAAGGATTGAATACCGCCCATGTAGTGAAGAGTTTATACTTATCAACAGAGACCACACCACTTAGAATCTTGTAAAGCATGAGTACATCATACCGTTTCCTTCTATTTTCAAGAGTTTGTAGACCAAGAATTTTTATTCCTTCGTAATAATGTTAAATTTTAAGTATAGTAATTGTCATTATTTATTGTGTCTCAAAATTCCTATATAAAGTCTATATATTACTGGCATACCAGAATAAGGGCGGATATTTCGAATTTCATGAACGTTAGTTGGGAAGCAAAACAAAGCTATGAATAGAACACCGAATACCTTGCGTTTCAGATAGGTACTGCACGCTTGAGAGCAGATTTAATGATACGATCTGGAACCATCCGTGGTTGCATCTCATAATACTGCCAGGACCTATGCACGATGGAAGTTGATATGCTTAACACGTTCAGAAAGTGCATGAATCTCGGTTGTATTTCTTGGAGCGTAGTAGTGAGTGGAGTAAGTTGTATAGTCTATTTTTTTCAAGTTTCCGATCCATGGATTATGAGTTGCTTTTCACTTTCGAGTCCACCCTACCATACGCCGCGTATACTTTTCCATGAGACTCGTGATATATTATTTACAGATGTCCGGGCAAATTTGTACTTTGAGAAGGTGCCCTTTCAAAAAATAAAACTTCCTCAGAGTAGAAATAGGTAGCCCACTTCTCTGTCTTCTTTGCCGGCACATTGTTCCTTCCAGGAGTCGTTAAAGTTTCGTTTCGTAATGTAGAGCTTGAGGAGCTTTGTGCTGCTTTCTTCTCGCATACCTAGATGTGCGGAACAGCGAAGAGTTGATTTGAGGGTGTTTTATGTGGACTTTGTACATAGAAAATCATGAAAAATATATGTCATCGTGGATGGATTGTGAAAGCCCAAAACGTGGGCAGTTGGAAGGAAAAACATGCCTCAGTGCTTTGGGTCAAGAAAGGTCTCAGTTTTTGCCACTCTCCAGGATTCGTCTGATGTTGACGTTGATCACATTTCCATCTAGTTGGACACCTGAGGATTCCGTCTGTATTACCTGTCGTCCATGTGTCGTTTTGAATTCCCCGAGCAAGGCCAGAATACCATAGTGGCTTACCGTTGCTCTAGAGGCACTTTCGAGGTCTTTTGGACCGGCGATCGTACTAAATATTATGAGCGACAGCTAACAAATGCCCAACGAGTCAGCTTTGCATAAGATGGAAATTGGGAGAGCTTTTGGATTTCTTTGAAATTTCTCATCTCGAGGAATGTTGAGCGATTGCGGACGGGCGATTTGAATTTCGAGTAGCTTGGTAGTCGTCTCTTGCAGTTCGAATCTTCTTTTGTTCCATCAAGTTGTTTTTTGTTTGGATGTTAACTTTTTTGACCTAAGAATTTACCTTGAATTGGCCCCCTCTATTGAATGCCGATTAATGCGCCATGTTGGCACAATTTTAGGCTCTTTTTGTGGGTCAAGTACCATTTGTTGGTTGTTTTGTTTACTGGTACATGTTGTTACCGTGTTTTTAGATGTTTATTATTGTTGAGAACTGATTAATAATACAAAGTATACAAAAACACTTGATGTAAACCCTATTGAATACCATACACAGTACAAATAGACGTGGACAAGAATAGTGTAGATCTCATAGAGAAAATTTTGTTGTAAAAGGTGAATCACAGTGCAACGTACAAACTACAGAATTGATTACGAGTATTAGAAAGAAATGCTGTAGAGAGAAGAAATGGTATTTGAAAATAAATGGTAAAAATGCTTGAAAAAATTGCTTACAGCATGCAGTGTTCGAATATTGATTGGCGCAAATACAATTCCAAAAAGAGCCTAGACTAAATCAGTGGGATCAATGCGCGCTAAAAGGGTTCTCTGCAACTAGGGAGACCTACAGTTTGTTGCTTACCAGGACACAAAACCAATTTTTCATGTGTTATAATTCATCGTGCAGCGAGCGGCGGGTGTGTTTTACAGTAGGTCACCACGCGACGTCGCGCGCGCATTTCGTCGTGCCATACCCAAAAATTCCATGCGCGATTTTTTTTCAAGCGAAACACTTCCATATTTACAGCTGCATTCAAACGCAAGCTGTCTGTCCGTGTTTCCACACTAAGCGGACTTCCGAATCAATTACTGTACATGCGATGCGACCAAATGTGTTCAATGTCGCGTGGTGAGGTCTCGTCACACACACGCGCGCGGTTGCAGAGCGGCCACAGACCTAATAATGGTCTAATAAGAGCGACTAATGATTCGTGATAGTAAGTATATACAGTTTGTATGGAGCACGTTCCCGTTCACCTCTATTAGTTAGTTGGATTGAATTTTTGAATGACTTATTAGATTACCAGGTTACGGTATGACGCGCGCGATTTTAGAGCATGCAATAATTATGAGGAGTGTTCCGTTGGACTTTTTCTTGGAGTTGTGACGTCGTTGTGCGAGTTGGTGATGGAATTGTAGCCCTTTGGTCGTTTCCTCCAATTGCTGTCCATTGTGAATTTCGTCGTGGCATCACCCCAGTCAGGCCAGTATCTTTAATCAATATTGAATTAGCGATTCTACATTTTTGAACGAGGGATAGAAATCCATGATCGATTTTTTTTGAAAATGAGTGAATATTGGGTATACCTGTTCTTAATGCGCTCCACATACTCCAAGATATTTGGGCATTCCTTTTTGATTACTTCGAGATGTGATGTTCGCTTTCGTATGGAGCATAGACAATCTGGGCGAGGACGGCAAAGAGAGCGGCATCAATCTAAACATAATTGCCGACTTAACCGAATTCAGATATGACTCATTTTGTAAAGACCAGCTCTTCAGAAGAATATTACGACTTTTGAGCCCTGCTGACGCGTCGCGAATTCGCGTCGCAGAGCTTCGCGTAGTTTTCGCCTACTCTGACACATGAAGGCTGAGTAAATACTCTCATAAGATTGAGAAAGATTAGGCGCTTCGAAAGGCATGAAATATAAAGATCAGATGGGATATTACACAGTTCTTCGGGGGGAAGGGGCGAAGTAGTACACGACGCGCAGGC